GTTTTGAAGTATTAAATTAAAAACCCACATTACTCATCCATAATAATAAATTGAGCATACCCAACTTGTTTGAAAAATCATTTTCAAAACTCCTGGTGAGTTTGTAACTAGGCAACTAGTCATAGTAAAAACGACCACTGTACAGGTGAATGAGAGCCAGAACAAGGGAAGACTTGGAAAACTGGATGCAGTGTTTACTAGCTCCTTTTAGAGAAATTCCATATCTTTTTAGACATAACAAGTTGGGTTATATGGGAAAAAAAATGGCATTTGATGAGAAACTTCAGCAAATGTTGAGATTGCCAAAGAAAAAGATGAAATAGAAGAAATCCTAGGCAGAAAGAACAAAGTAAAAACAGATACCGACACAGAAAAATACAGATATTTGAGGGGTCCCTGAACCCAAATGCCTAGAGACAAACAAAACTATTTTGTCTGTGATGGAGGTTGGGTTATTAATTTACCTTGTTCACAAATACTCACAGAGCACTTGTTGTGCATGACCTACCATGCCTGACGATACAGAGCATCTAGAGATCCCTCAGTCCAGTCTTCTCACAGGGGCTTTAACTAAGCACTTTCAATAATAAAAGAAGTACACATTTGTGTTTCATATCCACTTGTGTGCTTGGAGGTATATGAGGGATCTGAACTCAGGTTCTCAGGCTCGGCACAGTAGGCAGTTTACTCACTGAGTCGTCTCCCCGCCACCTTACATAAATTACAGACAAAATACTGAATTCATAGAAGAGGACAAAGAATTAAAAAAAAAAAAACAAAACAAAACTCATCTAAATCTATGGACTTTGACGGCAGGTGTCCTCTAGCGCACAGAATGAAAGATATAAATTTGGATGAACACAGAAGCAATCACTGATTAGCTCAAAGCAACGTTTAAATTTATCTTCCCAGTGAAAAAGCATTAGAGAAGGCAATCTGAAGCACACCTGTTTGGGTGTGCGAGCATCAACAATTAGCTTCTTTAGGGAATGGGGAGTTTTCGACAGCCTTCATTCCAGTAAGAGGCAGCAGAGCTTAGCATTTTTATGACTGTCATCAAGAACATTTACCAGGGCCAGAGGAAAATATTCACACCCACCTCTTAATCTTGAAGATGAGGCAGCTCCCTTAAGTCACTCACTTAATTAGCCTGGGCCCAGGGCAGGGCCCCGCTGGTCCTCTGAAGGATTCTGTGGGTTTGACTTTTCTCCCCCCCTCCCCCCTTTAAAGCAATCTGGGCTCTAGACCTTCCAGTCAGAGAGAAAAAAAAGATTCCTTCTGAGCCGTGTGACAGGAGGAGCAGGTGGTAGATTTGATTGGTGCAGAAGTGGGAGCCTCGGCCTAGTGACCCCATATGGCTTTAATCTAAAGTGGCTGATGCTCCCCCACTAGCTCAGTCTGAAGGGACAAAGGCTGGCAGGGCACAAGTCCGGGGCATCATTCCCAGAGACAACGCTGGACTGTCAAGTGAGATGGCACAGCTCAGTCCTTGCTGCCCCCTGCTCAGGCGCTTTTCTACTCTAGCAGCAACATCCAACTCGCCTTGAATGCCGACTGCATGCCGGATGTCATGAATTTTATGTGCAAAGCCTCGCTAATTTCTCGTGACCCCATGTCAATGACCTTGGTAATAGTAAGATCCCCGTTTCATGACAGTTAAACAGCCATACAATAAACTCATTATCTCAGTTGGAATGCTTTTGAGAGAGAAATGAGGTGTCTGATACTAATGACACTGGGGCAATAGGTATAAACCAAATCGGACTGTGGCAAGCCAGGGCACATCGCCGCTCTGCTGATAAGTGCTCACAATGTCAGCTTGTACAAGACCTGGCTGAGCCAAGCTACCTGGTCATGTCAGCTGCAGCAAGTTTCCACTGAACAATTTTTCCCTCTTTGTGCCAGGCCTTTCTGAGTGTTCATGTCTTTATCTTGAAAATGGAGGTAATGAAATCTACTTCCCACAGATATGTAAAGATGAAGTGAGGGCAAAGTACCTAAACCGTGGGGAGCAGCTCAGAGGGACTGTCACTTAATATAGCTGTTCCTTGTCCCCAGCTCCCTCCTTGGTGACCTCCATAAAAACTCAGGTTCACCAGCCCCCAGTGGCCTTCTTCATGGAAGAATGGAGTTGGCTAAGGTGGCAGCAGTCCTTTGAACTGATGTTCCTTCTTTGCCGGTTCCTCTGGTGTGTTCGCACATACTAGGAGATTTTCTTTAAAAGAAAGTTGTCCTTCATTTACCTACTTTCACTTTGCGTGCTTTCTCCCGAAAGCTGAGAAGAATGGGCCTGGGGTGGCTGTGTCCCCACATTTCTTCTGTCCTTTGCCTGGTACTTGTGCTGCAGCTCCTCAGGTGAACTTTCTTCAATTTGAAGCAGAAATACCAGGGAACAAGCTGATCCGATGGCCAAGGAAACCCTTTTGGATTTGACTGGGTAGCAGTTTTCCCCTTGTAACTTCATCCCTGTCATCTTGTCCTCTCTTGGGATCATGAAACCAGCAAACAAAAGCCAGAACCCACATCCAAAAATTATTCTATAATGCCATCTACTCTGTGGCTTTTTTTTCTGGGATAATTTAAAATAACGAACAGAAAGGTCATCGACAGGCAAAGGAAGCATTATGCCCACGTCAAGCCTGGGAGAGCAGTGAGTTTATGTGGGGTTATTTACAAGAGCATGGGTGATTCTGAGGCAGCCACAGGACCTGGAAATTCTTGGGCAACACACCAGCAGTTACACCCCTAAAGAAGTCTCCCTGCGACACTGGCCACATAAGAAAAACTGGACCGCTGCGGTCTTCCCTGTGCTGTTTGCCAGCTGCCATAGTAGAGAGGTGTTGTTTCTCCACAGAAGTTGTTCATAACCCCCATGAGCCGAGGAGCTTTGTGGGCCTCCCTTCTTTCTAGGAGAGACTGTTAATAGGCTTGATTTGGTGTTGGCCTGATGGAGATGGGCATAGTTGCTCTGATTCAAGGTGGTAAAGATCGTCTCCAACCCAGAGGCAGAGCTACATGACACAGTCGTAATGACTTTTTTTTTTTCCTGAAAAACAAATGTCCACCTTGGAATGAAATACCTTAATAAATGCAAGGCAATAGAAAGTGGGCCAGGCATACAGGACCTATGCACCAAGATGGTTCCTGTGTCAGTGTAATATACTGGGCACTGGCTGGGCTGTGAAGGCTGGGGAATGTGTGTGTGTGTGGGGGGGTATCCCAAACAGACAAGGGCTCTGCCTTCATGGGTATCCATTCACCGTGGCAGTGAGGGACAGTAAACTAGTCGCTCACAAGTGTATGTAGGATCTTAATCCTGAGTCCTGCCATAAGGTACTTGGTGCCCCAGAGAGGGCTGGCCTAGTTAGGGTAGCTGGGCACAGTCTCCCAGAGGAAGTGGTGAGGCTGTAGTCCAGACAGGAAGGATGAGTTGGCGTGTTCTGGGCAGAGGAAGCGGCTTGTGCAAAGGCCTGGGCTGGAGGGAAGCTCCCAAGTCTGAAGAATTGAAAGGTCAGTGAGTCTGGAGGCAGTGATGGGAGGCGGGACAGGATAGGGCTGGGGAAAGTAGGACCAGGAGCGTGCACATCCTTGGAGGTCTTCTAAAGGACCTGGGCTGCTCCTAAAAGCCAACTACAAACATTCTGCATGCATTTCCAAAGAGAAAGTGTGAGATGCAGAGTTGGCTTTAAAATAACCACTATAGGAAAATGGATTTTGAAGAGGAAGGAGAAAGAATAGAGAAGGGACTGGGACTAAAGGTCAGCCTACTTCCTGCTGATTTGGGCGTTGGGTTCTGTGGGGCTCTGGCATGTATTCTCTCTGAAAGTTCCCAGAATTCCAAACATCACCCACTCGAAGAAACTATCTACAGCTGGCAAAACCACATCGCTGCACGAGAGCATGAGGCCAATCATAGTCACGTGCTGAGAAGCAGCTGTGTACAATCTGAAGCAGCCCCAAATCCCACACCTGGGAGTAAAACAAAAACATATCCACATTATAGAATTGGGTTTTTGGTTTTGGTTTTGGTTTTCGAGAAAGGGTTTCTCTGTGTACCTTTGGCTGTCCTGGACTTGCTTTTGTAGACCAGGCTGGCTCCAAACGCACAGAGATCCGCCTGCCTCTGCCTCCCCAAGTGGATTACAGGCTGGGATCATAGGCATGTGCCACCTCGCCCAGCGGTATAACTGGGTTATTAAAGAAACCGAAATTCTCACTCCACTCTCAGTTCTGGCGAGGTGAAGGCAAATGGATCCCTGGAGCTCATGAGCCAGCTGAATCTGTAAGCTCCAGCTGCAGTAAGAGATAATAATAATAATAATAATAATAATAATAAATAATGTGGAGAACAATTGAGGAAGACACCCGACTTCGTGGGACTCCAAATGCGTGCACACACATAAGCATCTGCACACGAATGCATACACACCCACAGGACCATGTACATAAATACTACATGACAAACTTACAGGCAGTAAAAATTAAGGAAAAGAAGAAGGGCTGGAGATGGCTCAGCACTTAAGACCACTGATGATTCTTCCAGAGGTCTGGGGTTTAAGTCCTAGCACCCAGTCACAACTGTCTGTAACTCCAGTTCCAGGGGAGCCAACACCTTCTCCTCACCTCTCCAGGTCAGACATGTACATGGTGCATGTGATCAGCTAATTAATTGATTAAAGGAAAGAATGAAAAACTACCGGGTCACAAAGTCCAAATCGACAGAACTATTTTCTGACACACGTTCGTGTGTAAAGACACACACAGACAGAGTTTTAGAGAGAGATACAAGGATCACAGTGTCACTCCATTCTTAGCACGTGTAAGACCCCGAATTCCATCTCTAGCACAAAATCCCAGGTCTCCATTAGCTGGATAGCATCTACAATCTTAGCTACCTGGAGTATCACTTGAGCTATAACTTGAGAGTTCAAGGCCAGCCTGTCCCCAAAAGAAGATAAATAAATAACAATAAAGAAGATAAAGGCACTTACCATTGCAACATTCTTTAAAATTTAAAATGTGTCAAATACACAAGGGGTGCTCTAACAAGACAGCTGGGATTGCAGTCCTTCTTTAGAGTCACCTTAGCAAAAGCTTTCCCTGAATGATCCCACAAAGGCGGTGATGCAAAACTTGGGAGCTGGCTATGCCCTACTCAGGTCTTGTGGTGATTAAGAAGCCGTTCATTACAGGACAATGGCTGTGGAGATAAAGCACAGGTTCTCCACGCTGTGAGAACATCTAGTGGCAGGCGGGGTATGTGGAGCAGGCGTTGATCACTCCTGAGGTACAGAAGAAAGTGAGATTAAGTTGTGACTTGAATGATGGGTAGAAGACACAAAGAAGTGACACTTGCAGACAGTGAGGACAGAGGGAAAGAAAGAAAATATGGTGTTAAAAATGTTAACACTAAGGCCTGTATCTTGGGACAGGGCATGTGAGATTTCATGAGCACATTGTGGTATTTGGAATTTATCCTGACAACTAGATTGGAGAAGAAGTGCGAGAACTGGCTGAGGAGAAAGGCTGGAATCCCAGGGCTCAGGGCTGGAGAAGTGACAGAGAAAATGGTGGCTGGAAGTAGTAGAGCAGCTGAGGAGGCAGATTCAAATGTCAAGCAGGTCAACTATATGAAAACAAGGCAAGGGGATGATGAGAGGATGACTCTCAGGTCTGGCCTGGTGAGCTTGGTGGATAACGAAGCTATCCACTGAAAGAGAGAGCATGGGGGACTGGCAGGCTTTGGGCATGCTGAGGTTGAGGTACCTGTGGACACATAAAATACATGGTTGGTGTTTGGTCAGTTAGCACGGGAGTCTGGGCTCATGTGCGGACACCATAGCTAAAGTCAGCTAAAGGAGTGGATGGGAATATTCTAGAAGCGATGTGAATGTTCAGGAAAGGGGACCGAGTGATCTTAACCCAACACGCTCCACAGCCCCAAGTTCCTATGTCACTGTATTCATTACAGCAGCTATGTCAGGAGAGAGTGGAGCGTGAGAGCTTCTTTCACAGACAACAGAACTGACCCGGCCAGCCACGATTTTTTACTTCTTAACAAAGTAAAGTAGCTAATTGAAACGGCCCCAAGCTAATGACTGTTGAAAGTACCATATGTGTATGTATACATAACACATACATATATATATATGGTATAGTTGGAATACAGAAAGAATGAATCATAATAATTTATAAATAGCAAAACACAGAGAAAAAAACCCAGACTTACCCATTCAAGCATAAATGAAAGGTACAACTCCATTACCCACCACCCAAGAGTGATGGTCCATAATATTCGTGTGTGAAGGAATATGCTTCCTGAAAGTTCTTGCGTGTGTGTGTGTGTGTGTGTGTGTGTGTGTGTGTGTTGCAGTAATAGCAGCAGCAGTAGTTGGTGGTTCCCTGCTGCTGTGCTGCTGCTGTTTGCTTCACTCTTTCGGGGGTTGTGACCAGTCAGAAATGAAAAGGGGAAGAAAAAAAAAGAATGCAATATCCGAGTTAGAGAGAATTTATATCATGACTTTGAGAAATTACAATGTACGTTAAACTTCTGTGGGAATGGTCTTCACAATTACGGCAACTAAAAAAGGTGACTCCAGGGAGAAAATGCTGTTTCTGATGGGCCTGGGTCAAAGGTCACAGACAGTCCTCTAGCAGGTATCTTGTTCCACGGTTCCCCTCTCCTCTCCCAGCTGTCCCTGTTTATGCCCCTTGTACTTTTGGGCTTTGCTGCCATGTGGTCCTACCAAGGTCATGTCTTTAGAAGAAAAGGGGAAAAGATATTTACCTTGTTTGGAGACAGTCTCCATCTCTGCCACTTCCGAACTGAGTGCCACAGCCAAGTTACTTGATCTTTCTGAGTCTCGGTGCTCATCTTCGAAGTAAGGAAAACGCAACCTAAGATGCAGGCTGTTAAAGAGTCTTGTGAGGATATGCTATGAAAGAGGCTAAATGGCCTGGATTCTAATCTCTCCTCCGCTCCCCCTGCCCCCCCCTCCGTGATTTCCCAGATGTACGACTTCATGTTAGTACCTAATTTATATGTGTCTTAGCCATGCTTCCACACATGTAAATAAAAGTAATAAAACATTATAGGGTCAGGGGTCGCTCACACTGCTTCCCACACTCTGAGGAGTCCTTGGCCTCAGGAGGCCCTGCGGTGCTCCCAAGCAGAATGACACTTTTGTAACGGCTTCTGTATGTGTTGGCACCTCCAGCACGCCTCATTCGGAATCCTAATTTTTTTTCCTCTTTATTATAGAGGAACATGTATGCACAATGCGTGTGCTCATGTGTGTACAATGCGCATGTGTATGTGAAATGTGTATGCTCGTGTGTGCACGGCGTGCGTGTACAATGTGTGTACGTCCAATGTGCCCATGACAATATGTGTGTAGAATACGTGTATACACAATGTGTGTAACGTGTACAAACCGTGCGTATATGTAAGTGTACAAAGTGTGCGTGCACAGTGTCTGTGTGTGCGTGAATGCATGAGGACATGTGTAGAGTGTGAGAGGGGCACATGCATACATGGAGGTCAGAGGACAACTTTGTGGAGTTAGATCTCTCCTTCTACCTTTACTTGGGCTTCAGGGATCAGAGTCCAGGTATCAGGCTCACACAGGAAGAGCTTTGCTCACAGAACTATCTCACTAGCCCTCAAATGCTTGCCATTCCTCCCTTCCTCTCTTCCTCCCTTCCTCCTTTCCTCTTTCTTCCTCTTTCTTCCTTCCTTTCTTTCCCTTCCTTCCTTCCTTCCTTCCTTCCTTCCTCCCTCTTTCTTTCTTCCTCTTCCTTTCATCCTCTTCCTTTCTTTCTTCCTTTCTTCCCCCTCCTTCCTTCCCTTCCTTCCTTCCTTCCTTCCTTCCTTCCTTCCTTCCTTCCTTCCTTCCTTCC